ATTATCAGAGATAACTCTTTCAGGCCGTCCTCTTCTGGCTACAAATCTTCTGAATGATCTAAAAAAATACTCAAGAGACATATTGGTTAATAAATCAAAATGAATGGCTCGCGTTACGCAGCACGTGTAGAGACAAAGCCAAGCTTTGCTCTCCGCGATCTCAATCCCCCTTTTATATACAATGGACCTGCGAAATCAACTCCAATGTAAGTGAATGGAGGATTCTCACTGACTCTAAATGCAGGTAACGGTGGTGGATCTGGAGCACTTTAATGCTGTCCTTCTGTCTTTCTGCATACTACACACTGTCTAAGTATCTTCCTGATTACACTTCTCCCCCTCATGATCCAATATTTAGCTCAAACGTCGGCTAATGTTTCCCTCACTCCGTTGTGAAACACACGCTCATGACATTTCAAAATTATCAGCCTTGTAAAATAATGCTCTCCTAGTACCAGTATAGGATGTTTTGTACCACAAGGAATGTTTTCATTCACAATCCTTCCACCACATCTCCAGACACCAACAGAATCCTTAAACAACAGTAACTGTTTTCTCTCATTCTCAAATCTCAATCTCTCACATAATGTAGACTGAACTTCTTTCATCCAAAATAGCTCTCCTTGAACTGAACTCTCCTTCACTTAAGTTTTCTCCCAACACCTTCTCATGCAAAAATATAATAAACTGGAACACATATGCAGTGACTCTCAATAGCTTCTCCAAATTGCTATACTTCTCAATATTGATAAGTCACGCAATCACGTTGTTCTTAGCTAATAAACCACACTCTATGCTCATCTGCTTTTAATTCTGACACTCTTCAGAAATATCCAAATTAACTTCATTCAATCCTTCTCTCTCAATAAGCCATATGGGCCCTCTCAACCACATTGTCATTCTTTAACTCCTCCATAGTCAGCCCTCTTGAAGGGATGTCAGCTGGATTCATTTCTCCAGGACAATGACACAAATGGGACCAGACACCTTATCTCTCGAACTCGATTCTCCACAAACGGTTTCCAGCTTCTTCCTACTCCTCGTATGCAATAGAGAACTACCAGAGAATCTGTATAGCAAACTAGATCACTCAGCTCAATATCATCGCGTAACGCAACGTTAACGCTCTTCATTAATCGCGCCAAAAGCAATGCTGCTAGCAACTCCAGTCATGGAATACTGTGCTCTTTTAATGGAGATACACGAGTCTTTGATGTTAGAAATGCCATTCTCCTCTGAACATCATATGTGATACATAACATGTAGATTACTGCCGCATACGCTCGCGTGGAGGCGTCGCAGAATCCGCAAAGATTAATTTCCACTTTCTTGCCACATGTGTCGCAATAATAATGTCTGTTTATGAAGATAGGCTCACTATCTTTCATACTATTAACTATATCAGTCCATTTCTTTTGCATGCTATCTGAAATCTGTTCATCCCACCCAATCTTTAAACAATGTAGCTCCTGCAGAAATAACTCAAGTTTCACAGTACCTGGAGACAATAGACCTACAGGATCATATACTCTACTAAC